ATAATGCGGCTGAAGCAGGCGCTTTTAGGACTGCGATCGTGTACGTGTCACATCGGTACCTCACGCTACGTCGCATACATCGTCCGGTTTCTCAAGGATATATCATCACGAAGGCCGTCCGACCGCTTTCTAGCTGCTGCAGTGCCGCCAGCCTGTCCGCCGTTGGGGCAACACGGATTACGTTGAATATTCAAGCACGCGGTTCTGCACCACTATGGTGATACTTTCAGCTGTGTCGAGCTCAGCACTTTGCTATCTCATTTTCCTCTCGCGGAGAGACTGATCACCGCGCAGCAGAATAGCAGCACTCTGAAGGGCCTTTCAAGGCAAGGGGTAGGCCGTGCCACTTAATAGATCACAATTTACTGATGGTCGAGTTGGAGGTTTAAGTATCCACATTTTGAAGGTATCGTAATCTCATCTCATTTAGACTGGTCAATGCACGTTAAAGTCATCAGCAAGTATCGTCTTCATCTCTTACACCACGTTCTTAGTGGTGGAACAACCGGATGTGCTGCTCAACAAAGGTCATACCCAGCTTCTCAGCCGTCTCGAACACGGCGCCATCGTTCTGGCTTCCCGTAGGCGCAGCAATGTACTTGACACCACTTCGGTGCGCCCTGAAGACATTGTCGATGAAGGGGAAGAAGGCATCAGAGCTGACAGCGACGCTCTCCATCTTGGAGAGCCACTCCTTGCGCTCATCGGCGGTGAATGGCTGGGGTACCTCTTCGAAGTTGGCCTCGAAATCGTCGCGCTCGATGCCTGACTCGGGGACGAGACCAGAACACAGGAGGTCGATGGCGTTGGATTTTGAGGGGCGCTTGGTGCCCTTCTTGAACTTGAGGTTTAGCGTCTTCGAGTGGAAACGCATCCACCAGTTGTCGGCTTTGTCACCAGCCAGGCGAGTGCAGTGAATGCGTGCTGTACAGGGATTAGTGGTTGCTCACCATATAGGATTTGTCGAACTTACATTGCTGACCAGCTCCGAGACCGACGATCTGGCCATTGAGCGCGTAGCAAACACTGTTGGACTGGGTGTACTTGAGCGCAATGGTGGCGACAGTCAAGTCGCGCTGGGCAGGCTCTGGAAGAGCTCCAGAGTTCTTGGGCACAATCACGGTGTTGAAAGTGTCGGCAGGAACGATCTTGGCGTCGTTGCGGTGCTGCTTGAGGGTGATGCCGAATACGGTCCTGGTCTCCTCGGGGCCTGGGACGTAGTCAGGGTCCATCTGAAGGACCAGGTACTTTCCACCCTTCTTCTTCTTGAGGATCTCCAGAGCTTCGGCGGTGTAGCCGGGTGCAATGACACCGTCGGAGACCTCGCGGCTGATGATCTTCGCAGTCTGGACGTCGACCTCAGCGGACAGGGCAATCATGTCGCCAAAACTTGACATCCTGTCAGCACCACGCGCCCTAGCGTAGGCCTGTGCCAAACCCGACTTCTCGATGCCCTCAATGTCGTCAACCATGTATACCTTGCGCTCCACCTCACTGAGGGGGACTCCGATAGCCGCACCCGCAGGCGAAACGTGCTTGAAGCTGGCTGCCGCTGGGTAGTTGAGCGCCTTGGTCAGCTCCTGCACCAGAGGCCATGCGTTTAGCGCATCGAGCAGGTTGATGTATCCGGGAGAGCCGCAGAGTACCTTGAAGGGCAGAGACTTTTCCGGCATCGAGACCGTCGCGGGCTTCTGGTGGGGGTTTGCGCCGTATCGGAGGGTAAGGAACTGGTCGCCGTCGCCGGCGTACTTCTTCCTGAAGAACTCGGAGATGGCGGTGTCGTATGATGAGGTCTGCTCGAAAGCCTTCAACGCGTAGCGCTGTCTGCTGTTCTCTGAGACCTCGCCGTCTTTCTTGAGTTCGGTAAGGAGGTCATGGTAATCGTTGGGGTCGCTGATGATGGTGACGCGTGCGTGGTTCTTCGCGGCGGCCCTAAGAAGGGTGACACCTCCGATATCGATCTCCTCGACGGCCTCTGGGATGGTAACGTTGATGCGCGCGACGGTCTCGGAGAAGGGGTACAGGTTGCATACGACGAAGTCGATCTTGTCGATGCTGTTGGCGGAGAGGTCTGAGTCGTCCGAGTCGAGGTTGCGCGCGAGAATGCCTCCGTGTACGGCGGGGTGGAGCGTCTTGACGCGTCCACCGAGCATCTCAGGCGCCTTGGTGATAGCAGAGACATCTTCTACGGGGAAGTTGGCCTGGCGGATCATCTTGGCCGTGCCGCCCGAAGCCAGCAGGCGGACACCGCATTCGTGCAGTCCCTTGGCCAGGTCAAGAAGACCGGTCTTGTCATAAACTGACAGAATCGCTGTCGCAAAAAGTTAGGAGTAGTCCATGGGTACTGGAAGCGTGTTTTTACCTGTCTTTTGGCCTCCCATGTTGACTATGATTTGAATGTTCAGTTGTCAATTGAAGAGAGGCAGTCAAGTAAAGCAGAGAGATCTGGGGTACAAAACAATGGCGCACGACACACTGTGGAGTTTTTTTGGCGTCGCGGGGCTCACAAGTGACCTCATTTGCCTGCCCCTCCATGGCTTTAGCCCGATTGGCCAGAGCTCGTCTCCGCTACGCGACTGCGAGACGCAAACTCCAGATCACTACGGCTCGTATCCTTTGGGATATACACGTAGCTCCCGCTGTACATCGCTTGTCTTCCCGTATCCATGTGTCGTACCGATCATGGCGTCCACTCACCGCTCGTCAGCTCCTCTACGCAGAGTTGAGCGATGCAGCCAATCGCCATGGCCATGTCAATTATCGCGCCTCGGTTCTCCGTTGCGATACGCATATATCAGCCTCTGAATCTCTCAAGAATCACATCCGCCGCCATATAGACCTCATCGCGGCGCGCGTTTCTTTTTTGTGTCACTTGCATGCACATCAGTACTCGCGACAAGTCACCACCCTATCCAAGTTGCCGTGGGCCTCCCGACCCATCCATCTTCGAACGCGTACTTCCATTCCCCAACGCATTGAGATCCCTTAGGCATCATGACAACGCATAGTAGTACCGAAGATCTCGTCAGCCATCTCCAGTCTATCCTGCTGGAGCTCAACGCGAACCCCTATCCTGATGTCGCGTGTCCGCCAAACCTGCCTAAACGCGCTTCTGTAGCCCTCATTCTTCGCATACAACCAAACTACTCGCATTGGCCTGACAGCTCCGATAGCCCTTTACCGCCTCGACGCAGACGCTCCTCTGTCGCACAGCCCCATTCCGAATTCGACTTTGAGTCGTCACTAAGCGCCTTCTTCTCACAAGAATGGGTCAAGCACGGCGACCCCGAGCTACTCTTCATAAAGCGAGCTGCGCGAATTGGTGATAAGTGGAACGGACATGTTGCGTTGCCAGGTGGGAAGAGGGATCCAGAAGACGAAGATGACCAGGCAGCTGCTGCTAGAGAAGCGCTCGAAGAGGTCGGCATTGATCTGAGCCCTGCCAATGCGATCGCGGTCGGCAATCTACCGCAGCGCATTGTCACGACGAGCTGGGGCAAAGTACCGTACGTCGCCATACTACACAGCATTTCAACTTAGATCTGGACCATGGATACTATGATCTCTCAAACCTAGGCTGACCACAAGCAGACTCATGGTACTGTGCCCGTACATCTACCTCCTTACCTCTCCCGCCTACCCACAGCAACGCCTGCAGCCCACCGAAGTAGCCTCCTCACACTGGGTCCCCATTCGCGCCCTTCTCTCCCCAGCTCTCCGCACACACGAATACGCCGATGTCTCAGCGCGACTGGCAAAGTCCGAGCTAGGCATCAAGCGCTGGTTCCTACAAGCCATGCTGAGCAAAATGATGTTCGCTGCCATACAACTCGTACCAGCCAACTCGACGCATTGCGCAACCATACCCGACTTCATACCCGTCGAAGCAGCGCCACAGAGTGTCACAAATACAATTAGAGAAGCATTGGCAGGCCCCGAAGGAAGATCTAAGGACCGTAGGCCTCCATTATTGCTATGGGGTTTGACATTGGGCGTCGTGAGCGACTTCCTTGAACACATGCCACCACACAACGCGCTGGAGCTCTGGACATATCCTACGTTTACCAACTGGGACGTACGGTTCGTCATGTGGGCCATGTCGTACCGCTTCCGGAAGCAGAAGTCTTTAGAAATGAGCACAGCTGCGTCGAGCGTGACAACGACAACCAGTCAGGGTGCGACAGGGCTGCCCACTCAGGACTTCCCAGGTATTGGCAGTGAAGCGCTTGGGTCTTTGGAGGAAGAGAAGCCGGGTGAGGTCGGCATAGCTGGCTTGGGTGTAGGAAGAGGGTGGGGTCAGGGCGGGAGAGCGAAGATGATGGCGAGAGGCGCTGCAGTCAATTCCATGTTAGAGGGCTACTATCCGCTTGTCAGGAGGGCGGTTGCCACGGCACTTGTTGGGCGCATCAGTGTTGTGGCTTTGGTTGCGTTTTTGGCTTGGAAGAAGTTGGATGTTAGATCGCTAAGAGCACGATTGTAGCGGTAGAACGATACATCGTTTTGACGCGCAAACGTTTCGATTTTCGTTTCCCAATTCCCTGTCTGTTTGGCCATCATGCGCAATGCCAGACTAGGGTAGTCGACCTCGTTTCTTGGTATGGTGGCCTGGTTTCGCTGATAGCTGACTAGATAGCATTCGGGCTTCATGCTTGAGTCTGGTTACAGGTAAGAGCATGCTGACGACGATGCCATTGGAAGTGTTATTTGTTGAATACATGTCAGGCTTTGAATACCACATCTGTATATGCGCAACGAAACAAACACTCCTAACATTGACGTATCCTCCTCGTTCATCTATGCTGTATGTGATAGCCACTAGCGGACGAGCTGGTCTGCTCCAGTATTGCTATTTTCCGGTTCAGTAGTGACCTCATCAATACAATGAAGACTTCATGAAGGGCCTGGTCGGGCCGAAGATTGGAAAGTCGTGCTTCAAGGCCGGAGGGTCTGATGCGAAGATCTGCTGAGATTTGCTTGCACAGCACAGTCCCTATCTGCCCCTACGACATACCCTGCAAAGACCCCAATACAACATCCCCGCACTTCACATCATACTTCTCCGGTCTCGCAAACGAGATCTCCGCTCGATTCCCCACGGCGATCTCACCCCAACTCTTCTTCTCCGGATCAAAGACCGGCCAGCCCAGCTTCGTCAGTCCTTCCTTCGGATCCTCAGTAAACGCAGCAACAGCCCGCTGCACAAGCCTAACAGTATCCTTTTGAGCCTGCGTTTGAGGGATGCCGCTAGCATCCGCAGAGCCACCAAAAATCATGTTCAGTTCAGTCCCATGATACGCACCGGACGTAGGATACAGACGGGTATTGTTCCAGTCGCCGTAGTATCGGTAGACCCATGTGGGTACACCAGCATCAATGCGTGCGTTAGCTTCGTGGGAAACGGGGCAGACGAAGGACTCGAGGAGGAACTGGTCGCCCTGCGCCTTCGTCACGTTTCGACCTTGTGCAAAAGCCGGGATGACGTAATAGCCTTGTTCGTGATCGTTGTGGCCGTGGAAATAAGGCAGCTTAGCGAATTCGCCAGCTTCTGAGCGGGAGAGGTAGTCGGAGAAGATGATCTGGTTGTCGACGACCGGGTAGAAAGGCGGTGTTGACCGGACTGGACTGCCGCCTGGGCTAGGAGGGATCTTTGTTACCGCTTTTGACAGGACTTCCCAGGGTTGATGGCGCATGCAAGACAGTGTGTCATTTGATGAGCCACAGCCTACTAGATTTACGATGTCGAACCAGTTGGATCGTTGCTTTTCTGGTGTGTTCATGGGGAAGCTGAATACGTTGCCTGATGTCGACATGAGACCGTGGACGATAGGGTTCTCCTTGTACGCATAGGACCACCAGTCCACGGCTGCACCGCCGGAAGACTGGCCAGCGATGACGATCCTTTTCGCATCTCCGCCGAATGCTGCGACGTTCTTCTGGAGCCATTCCACCGCGAGGCGTTGGTCCCGCAATCCGAGATTGGTGTCTGCATCAGGGGCACCAGGGAAGCCAAAGACATTGAGGCGGTAGTTGACCGAAACGACGACGATGTCCTCGTTGTTTGCGAGGTATTGGCCATTGGCAAAGGGCGTGTTGGTATAGCCGCCCGCGAAGCCTGTTCAAGTAAGACAAGTGGACGCTGGGGAATAGGAAGACCACTGATGACCTACGCCCTCCATGGAAGAAAACATAGACAGGCTTCTTCACCTTAGCAGACTTGATGGCTGGCTTTGACCAAATGTTCAAAGTAAGGCAGTCCTCACTTGTAGAAATTCCAGTACCACCAGCAAACTGAAACAGGGGGTCAAATCAGTACCCATTTGTAGGTGTGGATTGTGTTGCATGTCAAAAGTAACGTACTTGAAAGGGTTAGCAAAGTTCTGAATAGAATAAGGGTACTTTGTGTGTATCAAGCTGCACGAACTCGCGACCCTGTCGTTACGGAGTCTTGCACTGATATAAACTCTCTTTCTGGGATTTCGTACCCGAGTCAAGTACATTCAATGCTTGAGGCGTAAATCCAGGAAATGCGGGCCAGTTGGGAGGTTGTTGTGGGCAGCCACTGTGCATAGAATTAGCCTGATAATACATACGGCATCATTGCCAAACGCCTACTATCCCTGTTCTGATCGTCAACACATTTGCATACCATAGTTTGGTAACGCCAAGTAAGTGCTTACGAAGTTGGCAGCAATATATTCCCCTTGGCCTTTGTACTTCTGAGGTGCAGCGAATCGCAAAGCACCGAGTGGTGGCTGCGCATACGGAATGCCCAGATACTCCCAGACCTCGTTGGCATTGGGTGAGCGATGGCCTGTGATCTGCCCATTCTCCGTCTTCACGTGCTCGTAGGAAGACGACTTCGGCGCAGCCAGAGACAACTCAAAGGCACAGAGCCACAACAATAGGGTTGCAAGGCTATGCATCGACGAAAAAATGCGGATTGAAGTTGGCGTCCGTAGGATCCTGTACTCTTTGAGATCTAGGAGGCAATAAGAACGATGAGTTCAATCTCAGATTCGACTGCTGCCGTGCGCGAATATAGCGAGAATGCCTTCGTTATCCTTATATCCGAAGTACCCTGCAGAACAGCTCGTACAACTATGCCGCACGCAAGGTTCCTTGACGCCTTTCCTCAAGTGGGACGCCGACATGTACAATATTGTCGCTTATGTGTTTCCCGGGGTCGGAGGATCACTAATCGGTTCACGCGTCCCGAAGATCACCACATTCGATGATGTCTCTCCACTGAGAGCAATATGGGCTGTTATTACAACCAGTGAAGTTGGGTCCTTGACACAGAGACGTGATGAAGTTTATGTGGGCTCTGCGGCACAGACATCTGGTTGCAGACCGAAGGATGAGAACAGAGCATTCAGGTGATGGCCTTGTCCGCTCGAGGCTTCGACTTAGCAATGTCTTTCCCACATATTAGACTGTTGAGCGATACGGACTTCCAAACGAGATGACGTTCAGCATGGGAATTCCATCAAACGGTGCAGCCGACCAAGGACGGAAATTGTTTCTAACATCTCTAGTCATGATCATTGTCGCTGGCCTCACGGTCTTTGCCAGAATTGTCGTAATACTTCAAGGAGATGTGGCATTACGCGCTGACGACTACGCGATCGTAGCGTTTTTGATAAGTCCGTTGTACACTCGCCGGTATTCCGACTAATACTTGTTAGCTGTTCTCCATATTAATGTCGGCTTTTGTTCAAATATCTGTTGGGCGCTTCAATGCGGCATGTATCGTGTTGATCGTGAATTTGAGTGCTACACTCAGGATCCATGTATGCGGTAGGTGGCCAATTGTGACGAGTACCTCGGAGACACGTGAAAGCCCCTTTGGGGCTCGTGACTAGAGTGATCGGTTTCCAGCACGAGTCCTGCCTCGGTGCATATAATATCATCGCGGCCCCAGCAAGACGTTTGTAACATGTGGAAATCGGCATTGAAGCTCGTCGCTTGCTAGTATGCGCCAAGATCAAGGTTGCAAGCCCCAGGATCGATCTGAGGGGCCCGATAAAGCCGTTGAACGTGTTCTAGGGGCGATCCTCCGCTCGATATTCTCCGTGATCCACTTGCCGGTGGTGATGGGTAGTGGGGTTGGCATGTGAAAGCCCCGAGTACGCAGGTGCTAGTCGCTACAGCGCGACCACACCTATCAAAGTTGGCCGAGAGAAGGCTGAAAGTAGTTACAGAACTGGATTAGTCTGGAAACAAATCCGTGACGAGAAGAAGAAAGTTGACATCATCAGGTTGTGTTCGGGCGAAAGATGTGAGACGTCTTGCTACAACGGCCCAAACGGAGGTGAGTATCAGCAAGAGGCGCTGAACGCGACCAAAGCATATCGAGTGCAATGGGTTCTGAGTATCGTGATACAGGTGTAAGAGAAGTATTGCGCTAGACGCCAAATCGACGTGGTTCGAGGACGGTTGTGGTATGGCTTGCGAGATTCTGCTAGCAAAGATAAGATAGACTAGCGTAACCGAGAGCGCCAAGCGATGCACCTGGATATGTACGGGGCAGTAGCTAGGTGTGAGATGACGATGTATAGTTTGTTGGGACCGCCAAAGTATGTAAGCCGACCGTTGAACAGCCGCAGTAGATAAGCGTCAGTGAGCCCGTCATACGATGCCACGCCATGAAGAGGCCTCTGGTAGCGATGGCAGACGTGATGGGAGCTCGAGACGTGGCCCAGAGGACCCCTCCACGTGTGGAGACGCGTTCGAAGGGCAAAGGCTGAACCTCGGCGGGGTCTGCGGCGAATCAATCTGGTTGAATGGTGCCTGGCGCGCTAGCCCAGACCCTGCAGCGAGGCCTGCACCATCCGTGGGAGGCATTCCGACTTTTTGCGATGTGCGCCCACAACGTTTTCGAGCCATTGCGGGCCTCCGTAGAGTGCGCATTGCTTTTGCTCGCGGTAGCAGGTAGTAGCCTACACACTCAGTAGTGTAGCGGGTTTCATTCGGCGCCAACTCAGACAATCGCCACCATTTCAAGCCCGGCAGATATCCACCTGGTACCTGCGGGCGACGACCCTAGGCGAGGCGCTGGAGTGCGGGTGGTGATGGGCACAAACAAGCGGTCTGGTTGCCATACTCGTGCCTAGCGACGCGCCAAGCCAGCGGATGAGAACGATCTGCTGAAAATTCAGGGCCCCATGTAGACTGGCTTGTTGCGGGAGGGGAGCTAGAGAATGCAGTGCTGGACACGCATGCCGGTGGAGATGGCACCATGTACCACGCCTCTCGACCAGGACAGAGCTGTCCGTGTCCAGTGCGGTGGCGAGGGAGGGTAATGGTGAAAGTAATTTTTGCCGAGTGGAGAGAGATGCACAAGGTGTAGAGAGAAAGCGTGCTAGCTGATGGAGCCGGACCTGTCTGATTATCGAAGCGAAACGGCTTCTCGAACGCCCCTGGCTCGTCGACCTGCCCATTCCTACCCTGGCGCATACCCAGAAATTCATCGACACCGCCCTGAGGGCCCTGGTTTAAATTCCCACCTGTCCCGCACACACTTCGCCCTCCTTCACCTAATCTCGCTCACTCTCTGAAAGTCGTACAGACGTTCATCCACCTGCCAGCCCCGGCACACTCACCAATTCGCAGCCTGCCCTGCATCTCAACAGTTGATAGCCCTCTGGTGCTGCAACTGCTCAGGCTTGCTCCCCACCGCCAACCCTCTTTCCCCTCCACCACCACACCACAACCTCTCCCACCATGGCAACCTCGACCGCCCGCGCCCAGCAGCCTGTGCTGAAGAGGAACATGACGGCCGATTCGACTGCCAACTCAGTTTCGGCCTCACCCTTCGACTCGCCAGCTGGCTCAGCCTCCAACACGTCGCTGTCCTCGATGGACGAGCAGCCCCAGCACTCTAAGAAGGCTACTGGCAAGCTCCTCGACACATACGGCAACGAGTTCGAGATCCCCGACTACACCATCAAGCAGCTGCGCGATGCCATCCCCAAGCACTGCTTCGAGCGCTCTGCCATCCGTGGTCTGGGCTACGTCGCCCGCGACCTCGCCTCGCTCGCCGCTACCTTCTACGTGTTCCACAACTACGTGACTCCCGAGACAGTCCCCAACATGCCCCTCCGCGCTGGTCTCTGGGCCCTATACACTGTCCTCCAGGGCTTCTTCGGCACTGGTCTGTGGATTCTTGCCCACGAGTGCGGCCACCAGGCCTTCTCGCCCTCCAAGGTGCTCAATGACACTGTCGGCTGGGTCTGCCACTCTCTCCTCCTCGTTCCCTACTTCTCCTGGAAGATCTCCCACGGCAAGCACCACAAGGCCACCGGCCACATGGAGCGCGACATGGTCTTCGTCCCCAAGACCCGCGAGGTCTACGCCACCCGTGTCGGCAAGGCGATCCACGAGATCTCCGAGCTGGCTGACGAGACTCCCATCTACACCCTGCTCCACACCATCGGCCAACAGCTCGGTGGATGGCCCATGTACCTCATGGCCAACGTCACCGGCCACAACAACCACGACCGTCAGATCGAAGGCAAGGGCAAGGGCAAGAAGAACGGCCTGTTCAGCGGTGTCAACCACTTCAACCCCTCCAGCCCCCTGTACGAGAAGCGCGACGAGCACCTCATCCTGCTCAGCGACCTCGGTATCGCTCTTGTCATCGCTGCTCTCACCTTCATCGGCAAGAGCTACGGCTTCAACAACCTCTTCGTCTGGTACATCATCCCCTACCTGTGGGTCAACCACTGGCTTGTCATGATCACCTTCCTGCAACACACCGACCCCACCCTGCCCCACTACGATGCCACCACCTGGACCTACACTCGTGGTGCCGCTGCTACCATCGACCGCGAGTTTGGCTTCATCGGACGCACCCTCCTTCACGGCATCGTCGAGACCCACGTCCTCCACCACTACATCTCCACCATTCCCTTCTACCACGCCGACGAGGCCACCGAGGCCATCAAGCCCATCATGGGCAGGCACTACCGCTCTGACACAAAGGATGGTCCCATCGGTTTCTTGAAGGCTCTTTACAAGAGTGCCCGCTGGTGCCAGTGGGTCGAGCCCAGCGTCGGTGCTGAGGGCGAGGGCAAGGGTGTTCTATTCTTCCGCAACCACAACGGCCTCGGTGTGCCACCGCAGAAGATCGATGCTCCCGGAGCTAAGAAGGCTGCGAAGATGGAGGTTGGCCCTGAGAGTGACAACGAGTAAGCGATGATTACGAATCTTATTTTTTAGAGCGGACTATTCTGCCACGGCGTTCGGGAGTCGCCCGACGAGGCTGCAAACTTTACTTCTTGCGGCGCACATTAGACTAGAAAGACCAGTCAAGGTATGATTTCGGTGTAGTGTAGATCTTTTGTCGCAGGCCCTTGAGGGATCAAACAATTTCAAAAGCTTTTCAATCAGAAGAATCAACCATGCAGTCGTGATTGTGAAGAAGTGAGATGGATAGATTGAGTTTCCCCGCACACGATGTCCGCGGTGACTCGGCGTAAACGTGACGTTGGCAGAGCCGCATTCATGTATGAAGGCCTGACCGGCCCTCCGCACGCGCACGATAGACTTCATATATCGAAGCCGTTTCTTTGGTTCCGGCTGCTTGCGAATGTTGCCTCACGAATATCCGCAAGGTTCAAGCTCGGAAAACCTCTAATGCACGCACACCGCCTCGGCATAGGCATGATGGCAAGAGTGGTGGCCACCATGTTGTAACTCATCGAGAGCAACGCGCCGTGGGCCAGCGTGGAAAGCATCTACAGCTTCATCACCACCTATCATGGAGCGTCGAGCCATCTCAAGCTCCACCACACACAAGCAAAGCTTCTTCTTCAGTCAAAATGTAGCGACGTTGGTAAGGAACAAGATATCATCAGAAAACCTCGTCTGCTCCAGCTACCTCGCACGGTGAGTCGTGCTCTTGGGCACGTAATAGAGGATA